CTTCTGAAGACAAATTATGCTTGATTTCCCCAGCCCTGTGCACATGGATTTAGTTTGAGTGAAGTGCCCTTCCCGGGGCTCGCACTGACTTTTAGCAGGGAAAGTCTTCCTGCTCAAATTGCATCCCTGGCCCTCCAATTACACCAACAACGGCTCCCGCCTACTTCCTCACAGTGTATGGAAATATTGCGCTCTGGCGCGGAACTGCCTTACAAGTTATGCAGGAATCGCGCTCTCGCGTGGTAGCTTCTCCAATTGATTCAGACCCCGCGCCCTCGACACTCAGGAATCACGCTCTCGCTCTGGATTCGTTCACGGTTTACTCGGGAATCGCGCAATCGCTCGAAATTTTCTCGCGATTCATACAGGACTCACACCTCAGCAACTCACCTGCTCGACCTGGCCGCCTGGGCCCGCCTTCCCGACCCGCCCGCTAGGGTCTACCCGCCCGATCTGCCCGTCCGGTTCTGCCACGTGCGTTCTGCTCCGAGCCCCTCTCCTGCTACTCTCTCTCGTGCTCCATCCTCGTACCTCCCCCTGGTCCTTTCCTTCCGTCCGTCCCCTCTTCCCCTGTGTGACGGGGCTGCGCTAAATGCACGTGGCAGGTAAGAAAGATGTAATCTCAAGGAGGGTACGATCGAAGACGAAGAGGGCGGATATCGAGGGTTTGGGATACAATTGTTCGATGGCACGCGAGCAGAGAAGACCGAATTGTTATTGTTGTTGTTAGTGTTGTTGTTGAGATCATCCTCCTCCTCGTCCTCCCTGATCGTCCTCTCCCCCCGCACTTGCGGCTGGACTGAAGAATCAGCAGAAACACGAAGCAGGCAGGCGGTGAACGCAGATTGGGCGTCTCCTCCCGAGCGACAAGAAGGTCCTCAGACTGTTTCAACATAAGGAGGGGGGGCGGCGACCCCCATCGCCCGAAGTTGTGGGGTGTCAACTGTATAACAGTTGTGGGCTGAACTCAAGAATACACGATAGGGGGGGGCCTGCATCCTCGATATGGATGCGTCCGAATAGCCTCCAGGGTATCCCCGAGTGTCCCTTCTTGTCCGAGCGGTCTGTGCTCATGGGGACTGGGGATTCGGGGCAAGGCATCGCCGACGAACACAGGACGGCCCTTGGTGATGTTTTCGTCCGGAGCTGGGACGCCCAAGACTCCCACTTTCCACGAACGGCTCGGCAACACCACGAGCACCTCCCCTATGCCGCATTCCCCTTTTGACTTCTCCTCTCCGTCTCACGAGGGGGCACGGGCGGAGGCACAGGCAGTCCTTCCTCCCGGAGACGCGAGACTCGAATCGACAGGGGTCGAATTGGCCCGACGGGGCCGTCAGGAAAACGACCACACCCGATCCGAAAATTGGCGCGAACTCCCGCTGCAGACATCCTACGAACACTGAACCGTCAAACTCCAGGACTTGAGCAGGGACCGACCGTCCCGGCATTCCAATAGGCCTACCACGACATGTTCTTAGAACCCCAAAAACATTCTTAGAACAAGACAATATTCTTAGAACATGAACCCGACGTGGCAAACAAAGACAGTCCCAGCCAGAAATGTTCTAAGAACATTTCGTGGAAGCCACAAAAGGTTCTTAGAACACTGTTCGGTAGGCCGAAAGGCACGCCAGGACGCTTCGCCATTGCTTGAAGGACGGGCCTGTAAAAAGCGTCGGCAAACCCGAGTCATGGCGAACTCGAGTCTTACGTTTCCCAGATTTTCATTCGGGGCCCCAGACCTCAGCGACCCCTGCGCTTCTGGGTGCCCGCCGAGCTCCAGGTCGGTCGTGACGACCTCGCTCAGGTCGCACTCCGCCGAGCTGAGCTTGAGCGTGGCTGTGCCCAGGATATCGTCCGCAGACAAGATGTCGTGATCCCACACCTCGAACTCCAGCGTGGAGCCGCGGACCAGCACCGGCATGGACTGGCAATGCTCCCACCGGGGGTTGAGCTCCATCGGCTCGGGCTCAGTCTGGAACTCGTACCCAGACTTGCCCCGTATCCGGCAGACGCAGTATGGGTCCGAAAGCCCGTCGCTATCGGCAGCGCGAAGCCCTGTCGCGCTCACAAGCGTCACGCTGACTTGTCGAGGGTCGTCCTCGCCGCCTACACCGTACATGCCCCATGCTCGCTCGCGCTCGCATGCGGTTTTCCACAGCCTGCGGAATGCCCACCATTTGGCCACATAGTCATTCAGCGTCCAGGCGATGTGGAATATCACAATATGGCTGGTGGTCGCCCAACACGCGTACAGCGAAAATCCGCGACCGAAGCCTCGGCACGTTGGGAACTCCTCGAAACCCTGTAGACTCTCTGTCCAGGTAGCGGTCCTGCCACACACGACCACAAGATGGCTGTATGGTAGGTTCCCGCCGTGACGACGCGGGCCCTGGTTCCTGACGCAGCATCGGGCGACAGATCTTGAACAATCTCCGCCCTCGCGGGTGCCCAGAAGCTGCTGACCTGTTCGTATGCATAGATTCTGCGCTGCGAGTTGTTTGCTGCGAGCCCTGGAGCTTGCAACGGCCCCTGACCAGGCATTCAACCTTAAACACCCTCGCCGATGTCACCGCCATGTTGAAGGGGGCGACAACCCTACCGTTAGAGAGCCTGCTCGGCAGAGCTCGGCACCTCCCTCCTGCATGAGCCCTGCATATCAACGCTGCTGTGGAACGGTGGCAAATGCCACGGCGGGGAGCCGGACAGGTTCACCTCAAAACGCGACGCGATGCGATACGCGGGCCATGGTCCGCCGGCTTCCGGCCCTGTGATGTTTGCTCTTTCTCCGCGATTTCTGAAATGCCAGCCTCCAGGTGCCGCGTTTGGAGACCGCCCAAGTGGGACCAGAGCAGATGGAGCCCGAGGAACGCAACGCGTCGCCGTTGCAACGGCGATGCACCACCGACCTCGGGATGGAGAACGCAGGCTCAGACCCCGCCGAACGGCCGATGCATCGGCGACGCAACGTGTTCCCCCGACCCTCTTAGCCTCGGCCCCTTTGAGCGGCCTGGAACTGTTGGGCCTGGCGACATCTTCACCACTCGGGGACCTGCTGACCCGGGTCAATCCAGACCCGGGTCAGTCAGGCCTTGCAGAATCCTGCAAGATCCTGCACCCAAACCCGGGTCAATGCGAAGGATCCTGCAGGATCCTGCACCCAAGCCCGGGTCAATGCGACCCTGGCCCTGCAGGATCCTGCAAGGTCGGGGCGCTCTGGCTGACCCCCGTTTGCACTGACCCCCGTCTCGAGGCTCCCGAACCACCATCGGGCACAAGGGGCCGGTACACGGGAAGGGGGGGTCGAGAGCTGCAGGGCTCCGGGGGCCCGCAGACTGACAACACCACGGAGCCGAAGGTCTGAGCGGTGCGCGGGGCGCACGGCGAGGCCGACAGGGGATCCAGCGCAAGGTCGTTGGCCGCGGGCCTGCCGGAACAGCGGGCAGCAGCTCGAAGCCCGGAAGATCCCGAACAGCTCCGAGAGCCTCGGGAACACGTTGTCGCGACGTGCGTCCGTCCCCAGGGGCCCCCAGCCTCGAGCCGTTTTTGTGTCGAGTTCCAGGGGCCTCAGGCGCACAACGCCCGTCGTGACTCGTTCGCGGGGCCAGGAGGACGTGGGCCTGAAATGCCACAGCTGGTCCTGAAGGGCCGCCGTGTTGATGGACCCAGGGGCCCTGGCTGCTTCCCTGGGGATCGTAGTTCCTGACTACCTACCAGACCACCCCAACCCAACCCGAAGACCCGAATTTCGGGTTGGGGGGGGTAAGGGTTCCACATGTGTTTTTTCGATGTTTCCCGACACCCCCCCCACTGGAAATCGAGGGTAAATCTGAGCCTTCGGTTTGGGTTGGGGTGGTTTGGTGGGTGGTGAGTTCTTCTTCCCAGATACACTTTTGAGGACCCTGGGGCCCGACAGCGGCCCCCGACGGCCGAAGTCAGCGAGAAGACACGAGACGAAGGGCCGCCGTGGCGATGGACCCCACCCGGGGTGCGGGACTGCGCCATGGCTGCGCTGGCCCACAGGGAGACCGCCCTCTTCGGCGACGGACGGGCGCCCCGAGGGGCATTTGAGGATGACTACCTACCAGACCACCCCAACCCAACCCGAAGACCCGAATTTGACCCGAATTTCGGGTTGGGGGGGTACGGATACCATGTGTTTTTTCAACGTTCCCCGACCCCCCCCCCACTGGAAATCGAGGATAAATTTGGGCCTTCGGGTTGGGTTGGGGTGGTTTGGTGGGTGGTGAGAGGACCCTCGGATGGCCTGTGGAGTCGGGGGTCCTGCTGACCCGGGTCAATCCAGACCCGGGTCAGTCAGGCCTTGCAGAATCCCGCAAAATCCTGCACCCACACCCGGGTCAATGCGAAGGATACTGCAGGATCCTGCAGGATCCTGCACCCAAACCCGGGTCAATGCGACCCTGGCCCTGCAGGATCCTGCAAGGTCGGGGCGCTCTGGCTGACCCCCATCTCAAGGCTCCCGAATCCACGGGCCCCCCCGGGACCTCCGGAGTCCTCCAGACGCGTCCCCGCGAAGACCTCGGAGGACCTCCACAGGCGAAGGACAGCGTCGGCCGCCGTCTCTTTCGTCGACCGACACGGTCGCCGAGCGTTGTCGTCGTCCTTGTCATCGTCGTCGTCGTCGCAGACGTCGTCTTTTTCGTATGTTTCTTATTTTTTCCTCTTTTTCGTCGTCGCCGTCGCCGTCGCCGTCGCCGTCGCAAACGCCGTCGCCGTCGCCGTCGTCGTCGTCGTCGTCGTCGCCATCGCCGTCTTAGTCGCCGTCGCCGTCGCCGTCGCCGTTGTCGTCGTCGTCGTCGTCGTCGTCGTCGTCGTCGTCGTCGTCGTCGTCGTCGTCGTCGTCGTCGGTTGTCGATCGTCCTCGTCCTCGTCCTCGTCCTCGTCCTCGTCCTCGTCCTCGTCCTCGTCCTCGTCGTCGACAGGGGGCTGCCGCAGGCGGCTGCATAGTCTCATCACCTGGTTCGCGGGCCGCTGCCTGACCAGGGCGTGCCAGAGCACGATCGCGAAGGGTCCCACGTCCAGGGAGAGGTGGATGATAGCCTGGAGCGGCGGGCGCCGCCGTCGCGGGCAACGCCGCCTCACGTGGTCGAGGTCGTGACGGCGGTCGTCCTCCCTCCCTCCCGCCTTTCCCCCTCCTCCACGAGAAAGCGGGACCAAGGGAGGGGGGCAGGGCTGAACCTAAACGATGTTTTTCGTTCTCGTTTTGTTTTCGTTGTCCCTCGTTTTGTCTTCAATCCACCTCTACCGCAAAACGAACTCGAAACGAAAACGGTCCACGAAATCGCCAAAACGCCGTTTAGGTCCAGCCCTGGAGGGGGGGGGCAAGAGGGGGGGCGAAGAGGGGGGGCGAGGCGGGAGGGGGGGCGAGGAGGGATGGGGGGGCGAGGAGGGACGGGGGGCAAGGAGTGAGGAGGGGCGAGGAGAGGGGGGGGGGGGGGGCAAGGAGGGAGGGGGGGGGAGGAGGAGGGGCGAGGGGGAGGAGGGGGGGCGAGGAGGGGGGGGGGCGAGGAGAGGGGGGGGGGGGCGAGGCGGGAGGGGGGGGAGGAGGGGGGGCGAGGAGGGATGGGGGGGCGAGGAGGGGGGCGAGGAGAGGGGGGGGCGAGGAGGGAGGGGGGGGGCGAGGAGGGAGGGGGGGGGGAAGAGGGGGGGGGCGAGGAGGGGGGACAAGGGGGAGCGCGGGCAGGGCCCTTGGGGGGAGAGGGGAGCAGGGCAGGGAGGGAGGGGAGGGAGCGAGGGGCGAAGGGCGGAGAGGGGAGCGAGGAGGAGCGAGGAGGAGGAGCGAGGAGGAGGAGGGAGGAGGAGGAGGAGGAGGAGGAGGAGGAGGAGGAGGAGGAGGAGGAGCGAGGAGGAGGAGGAGGGAGAGAGGAGGAGGAGGAGGAGGAGGAGGAGGAGGAGGAGGAGGAGAAGGGAGGGAGGAGCGAGGAGCGAGCGAGGAGGAGCGAGCGAGCGGGGGGCCAGGCGGAAGGACGAGCGGGGAGAGGAGCGCCTGCCTGGACGGCCAGGTCCAGCCACCACCGCCAGGCCGTGTTCCACGTCATCTGGAAGTCCAGCCTGCCGGCGAGGAGAGAGCGAGCGGGCCCTTCTGCGACGCCCCCTTCCTGAGCGGAAGACGAACGGAGGGGGAGCAGGATAGGTGGGAGAGAAGGGGGTACAGGAACAGCAACAGAAGGCAGCGGAAGAGAGTGGGAGCGGAGGGGAGAGAGGATATGAAAGGGAGGAGAGAAATAGTAAGGAGCTGACGGACGGAACCGCGGAGTGGGAGAGGGATGGATGCACGAGGCATCCAAAATACGTGACGCATTGATCAGAGAGGAGTGGATGAGCAGAGTAAGGGGGTCAAATCAAGGAACGTCGTAGTTCAGTTGGGGGGAAACTCATACCTATACGACCACCCTTCGGATAAGGAAGCTGTGGGGGGGGAACGAGGGGGGGGAACCAACATTTGACTGAATCAATCTCACTATCGATCTAACTCAACGGGAAACCACGGAACACCACGGGACACTTGTCGATCTCACTATCGATCTCACTCAACGGGACACCACGGGACACCACCGCGGGACACCTGGCGATCTCACTATCGGTCTAACTATCGATCTCACTCAACGGGACACCATAAGACACCACGGGACACCTCGGGACATCACATCGATCTCACTATCGATCTTACTATCGATCTCACTCAACGGGACACCACGGGACACCACGGGAAATCTGTCGATCTCACGATCGATCTCACTACAGATCTCACTGTTTGGGGCACCACGGAACAACTCGGGGCACCACATCGATCTCAATATCGATCTCACTATCGATCTCACTATCGACCTCACTATCTATCTCACTATCGATCCCACTATCGATCTCACTCAACGGGACACCACGGGAAACCACGGGACACCACGGGACACCCACCGCGGGACACCGCCGGACGGACGGACGAACGGACAGAGCAACAGATGTCTTGACTTCGCCCTAGCAACGGCGGGTTCATTCCTCTCGCGCGCCCACGCAGCTTCGCCTCACCCGCACGCACGACACGAACGAAACGAAATGATTTCCCGGTTGGGGGTCGCCGTTCCACTGCGATCTCACCCCCCCACCCCCGATCCGTTCCCCGCGGGGGGGGGCCAGGGGGGGAGCTGGGAGCGGGGTAAGCAGGGGGGGAGTCCCGGGGGGGTGGTCCAGTGTCAGGATACTCCCCCCCTGAGGGGGGTCCTGAGCGTGGTCTCTACTATGGACACGGACTCCCCCTATCCTGGTTCCCCCTGTGGACAAGGGGGAAAACGGGGGTCTCCCGTTTGGACAAGGAGAACTGAAGCCCCCCTCCCACCTCCCCCCCGCGGCCCCGCCTGTGGACAAGGGTGACAGTGGGGTGTGGGGTGACCAACCCTTTTAGACATTGGGAAGTCAGAATCCCTGCCCCCCCTCCACCTGTCGACAATGGGGACAGAGGAAGCTCCGCCCTGAGCCCTCTGTTGGACAGGGGGGCCACTCCACCCACCCTCCTCCTGGATCTCCCTGGACTCTAATCGCCTCTTGCGGGGTGCTGCGGATTTTCCTGCATGCCTCCAAAGGACATCATGTCCACTCCGAAGCAGCTCCAAGTGACCACAGAGCTTCCCAAGAGACGCCCCCAAGAGACCCCCCCAAGAGGGCCCAAGAAGCTCCCGAGATGGCCCCACGAAGGGCTACAGCGCGTCAGCGTTGTCGTCGACGTCGCCGCTGCCGTCGTGGTCGTGGTCGTGGTCGTGGTGGTGGTGGTGGTGGTTGTGGTGGTGGTGGTGGTCGTGGTGGTGGTGGTCGTGGTCGTGGTGGTGGTGGCGGTGGTGGTCGTGGTGGTGGTGGCGGTGGTCGTGGTCGTGGTCGTGGTGGTGGTGGTGGTGGTGGTGGTCGTGGCCGTGGTGGTGGTGGTGGTGGTGGTGGTGGTGGTGGTGGTGGTGGTGGTGGTGGTCGTGGTGGCGGTGGTGGTGGTGGTGGTGGTGGTGGCGGTCGTGGTCGTCGTCGTCGTCATCAGGGCTGGCGGCACCCGCCGTAAGGCCTTCGCAAGACGTGACGCACTGCGCGCAGAGGAGTGGGCGAGCAGGGTGAGGGGGGCGATGGCAGAAGACGGGGACAGGCGGAGAGAAGACAGTGCGGGGCTACGAAGTAGTTTGGAGGGGGGGCTGGATGAGACGGCTCACCACAAGGAGGGTGAGGATTAGGATGAGGATCGGAGGCGGGGAGAAGGGGGCGGACAGGAAAGGGGGGGGGCAAGGGGCGGTCAAGGGGCGAGGGTAAACTCAGGATTGTCAGGATGGGTAGGCCGGGAAGGAGGCCACAGGGCGAAGGATGAAGGGTGATAGGGGGAATGGAAAAGCGGAGGGGGGATGTGCAGGGAGGGTGGCGCAGTGGGCGGAGGGCGGAGGGAGGAGCAGTGCGCCGGGCGTGCCGACTGCACGGGGCTGGGCCCCCTCTCCGCGGAGCCAGTCGACGCCCGACCCTCGCCCTGCCACCTCTCGGACGCCCGTTCTCCGTGCCACGCTTCGGCGCCGTGCGCCGCGGCTGCTCACAGGCTGATCCAAGATGCTCCCCGACGGTCGTCGCCGAGGAAACAGCGCACACGTCCGAGCGGTGCCAGGTCGTCCTGGCCATCGCTCGGACGTCCATTTCCTGTGCTTTTCTCGGTTCGTGCGTGGATGTTTCGCCAAATGATCAGGGATGCTCCTCGATGGTCGTCGCCGAGGAAACAGCGCACACGTCCGAGCGGTGCCAGGTCGTCAGGCGCCTCGGGGTGCAATTAACCCGGGGCAACCCGCTGCCGCAGAGTCTGGGAGGCTGGAGCAGAGCCGATGGGCCTGCGGACGGAGGAGAGGACAAGGACGGACCCTCGGGTGGAGGCGCAGAGGCGGCAGTAAACTCGGAGAGGGGGAGGACGAGAGGGCTAAGCGACGAGGAGTCGGGGAGGACGGGGGAGGAGACGAGAAGGATGGCCGGGCGCACGAGCGGGAGGAGGGGGTGCGCGAGACGGGGCCAGAGCCCATCTCGTCCAGGTGAGCAGCGGCGCCACAGGAAAAGGGTCCCACACGGGAGGGCACAGCGGCACCACGCCGCGGCGCGCGCGGGCCGGCAACGCGGCACGCCAGGAACACAAAGAGAGGGCGCTGCAGCGCGACCTTCAGCGGGTAGCTCACGCGCGGATGTCTGCGCTTTCGGTTCGGCTGTTGTTACGCGGCTCACGTGGGCAAGCGTCGGCGAAGGGGAGCGACACTTGTTCCTCAGCCCCCGTCGGACATGTGCACGTACATCGACCCCCCGGGCCCCCTTCTGGGGTTCCGGCGACCTCCCAGAGACAGGCGCCGCAAGTAACGTCGCGATGACGCTGGTTTGGGTTGTTGATACCGCGGGGTTCGTTCAACATTGAACAATTGCGGCTCTGCAACAGCAGAAAGCCGATTTATCGATATCGGCCGATCTTGGGCCACTGGCGGCGTTCAACCTTTAACGTCCACGCTGGGGTCGCCGCCGCGACAACGCGACGACGACGACGACGTCGACGGCAGCCTCTTAAGGTCTCCAGAGGACTCTCGAGGCCTCGGGAGGTCTCCAATGGCCTCTGGAGGCGTCTGGAGGCCCTCTGAGGCCGTAGGAGACGACGAAACGACGACGACGACCACGATAAAGACGACGAAGACGACGACGACGACGACGACGAAGAATACGAGGACGAGGGCGAGGACGACGAGGACGAGGACGAAGACGAGAACGAGGGCGACGTGGACGACGATGACGATAACGACGACGATGACGAAGACGACGACGGCCGCCTCTGAAGGTCTCCAGAGGCCTCAGCAGATCTCCATATACCTCTGAAGGCGCCTGGAGGCCCTTCGAGGCCCTCGGAGGTGACGACAACGACGACGACGGACGACGAGGAAAACGACGACAAAGACGACGACGACGGAGACGACGACGACGACGACGACGACGACGACGACGACGACGACGACGACAACGACATCGACGACGACGGCCGCCTCTGAAGTTCTCTAGAGGTCGCCAGAGGCTTCAGGAGGTCTTCAGAAGCCAGGCGCCTGGAGGCCCTGCGATGCCTGTCAGCACCACTCCATGCCAGTGCGCCACGGCGCCATGCCTTTGGGAAAAGGGGGGCGGGCCGCCCCCCCCCCACCCCCCGCCGAACGTTAGCTACTGTGAATTAGGGGGGGGCGACCAAGTGTGATAAAAAAAAACAAGTGTGATAAAAACAACTGTGATAACAACGAGTGTGAAAACAAAGAAAGTGGGTTAAACAACAAGTTGTTTTATCGCCCTGGTGTCTTGTCACACTTGCCCGCAGCGGGCGCCACGGGCCCAACAGACAAAAAACGAAGCAGCCTCGTGCCCGCCACGCCTCGTTAGAGCCGCGGGGCGTTTGCCTCGGCGCGCCGCCCGCAGGTCCGGGGGGGGGCCCCGCGGCCTCCACAGCGGCTCCATCTTCAGGTGCTTCTCGGCCCGCGCGGTGGTCTGCAGGTCGACCCGCGACATCACGGCGGCGGGCGCCTGCTGCGGCGGGCGCGCGCGGGGCGGCCGGGGCGAGGGGGGCGGCCCTCTGAGGAGGCCGTGCGCCCATCACAGAGGGCGTGGGGCGCGCGGGCCGTCAGCAGGAGAGGACGCCAGCTGTGCGTCTACGCCTCGGCGGCGAGCCAGGGGGGGAAGTGAGAAGGGGCGTGCCTTCGCAGAAGGCTCGGGAGTCCCCCGGACTCCTGAGAGGTTTTCTAAGCCTTCCCCGAAGACAGACAAGAACTTCTCAGCAGGCGCGAGGGCTTCTGAGAAGTCCCGCCGCCTTCTGAGAAGGTCTTCTGCTTATCAATTCCACCCCTCGCTCGCCGCCGAACACCGATGCCGGCAGGGCCGAACCTAGGCCAACGGTCGGCGCACAAGCCCTCCTGGTCCAGCTCCCTCAGGCGTTCCGCTCGAAGCCCGCGCCTGGACCCCCTTGGCCCATCCTGTGCCACCTCCAGAAGTCGCCAAAGACCTCCAGAGAACCGACGGAGACGGCGATTTCCCAAAAATGAGTGCGCATCAACTTTCGGAGGTCCACGAAGATTTCTTCGGTCGACGCTGGACCCCTCTCCCCCCACTCTTCCGCTGAGCGCGGGACGGAGCGCGATAGGAGCGGCACCCGAGGCGCCGTCAGGGGTAGCGGGGAGATGGAACAGGCGCCAGCCCAGAAGTCTGCGCTGACGCAGTCGTTTCATCTTTGAACGAAGAACAAGCCGACGACGACGACGACGACGACGACGACGACGACGACGACGACGATGACAACACCGACGACAACGACGACGACACCGACGACACCGACGACCGACGACCGACGGCGACCTTGGCCTCTGGAGGTCTCCAGAGGTCTCCGCGGAGGCCTTCGAAGGTCTTTGAAGGTCCCCAGAGGCACACGAATGACTCCAGAGGCCTTCCGGCGGTCTCCGGAGGCACTCGGAGACCCTACAAAGCAGCGACCCTGTCAAACCACAACGGGTGGCCCGTAAACCGGCGAGATTACAGCGCACTGGGAAAATCGCGGAAGTGCGCATGGGAGAGCAAACGTTGTGCCTCCGAGGGGGGTGAGGGAGGAAAAGGAGGGAGGTCCTCCAGCACGAATGCAATACTCGACAAACGAACCTTCACCATGTTCTCGTGCGACTTCGGACCACTGGGATACAGTATGCATTCTGCGCGCCGCTGGCGCCTGACCGTCGGACGGCGCCCGGTCCACGCCGATCTGGTCGGCCTCCCTGCAGGCCTGGAAGGCCGAGGTGGAGTCTGGCACCGTGGCCTGGTCCATCACCACGGCGGCCTTTCTCGGGGACGAACTCTGACTTCCGACGATGTGTGCCTGTGCGTTCAACCAGCGTTTGTTCCGACCCTGGGGTGCCGTCTGGCCCCAAGGCCATCGAAAATGAATCCCGGACGAACAACTGCCCCCGGGGAAGCGGTCGGGACATCTTGAGCTGCGGATCGATCGAAAAAAGTGGAATGGGCGGATGCCGGGGTGGGGGATACCAAAAAGGGGGTTAGCGTATCAGCTGCACACAGCTGGCTTCCCACCGCCTTCTGGCGCCCGAGGCGGCCATGCATCGAGAAAAGCGCCTGGCAGCAGGGCCGACAGCAGCTGCGTGCAGCAAATGTCGTAACCCTTCCTTTTCCGATCCCCTCCTTTCGTCCGACCCGACTTCTCGAGAGGACGCCAACTATCTAATGTAAACAAGCAAACGAGCCACACGTTATCCTTACCGCTGCAACTGCTGCAACTCCCCGATGGGTTGAGGAGGGTGGAATATATAATCATATATACACACACGTATGTGTGTATGATTCCGCTGGGTCGCGGGTTCACAGCCCCCCCAGATGGGAGTCCCAGGGTTCCTCGCCCCCTCCCTGATGGGATGGGGGAACACGACGACGACGACGACGACGACGACGACGACATCGCAGTACCACCCCACACCCACAGGGTAAGGATAGAATCCGCCGACCCACGCTTGCTGATGGTGAAAAAGCGTGTGAGATGATTGGCTGCTCCCCAGCCCCAACCCTCGCCCTGGAGACTCCAGGGCCTCCAAAAAGCCCCAAGACGGGCCCGAAGAGGCCAAAATCATTGATTTCCCTTTAGGTGTGTTGAAGGATTTGGGCATTTGCTTTTTTTCGGCATTCCGACGGCTCAAGACTGCCCAAGAGGCCCCCAATATCGCCCACGAGGCCTCCAAGGTGGCCCCATGACGGCCCAAGAGGCCCCCACGACAGCCCCAAGAGGGCCCAGGGGGCTTCCAGGACGGCCAAAATGGCCTCCAAGACGGCGAAGATGGCCCCCTGATGCCCCCGAGACGGCCCAATATGCACCCAAGACGGCCTCAGGATGGCCTCAAGATGGCCCAAGGCGGCCCAAGAGGCCCCCTAAGAGGCTCCGAAGACAGCCCCAAAAGGCGTCCAGGAGGTCATCCGGGAGGGCACGAGGAGGCCCCCAAAACCATTGATTTCCCGTTGGTGTTTGAAAGATTTTGCCGTGTGCTTCTTTTCGGGATTCCGACGGCTCAAGACGGCGCAGGAGGCCCCCAAAGATCTCTCAAGGATCCCTCCAAGATGGCCCCACGACGGCCCAAGAGGCCCCCAAGACGCCCCCGGGAGGGCCCCAAGACGGCACGAGACGCCTCCCAGACGCCCAAGATAGCTTCTGAGAACCCCTGATATGCCCCAAGAGGGCCCCAAGACGACCCAGACAGGCCCCAAGACGGCTTCCGACGGCGTCAGACAGACCCAGAACACCCTAAGACACCAGCGCCCCGCGTTCCTCTCCTCTCCTCCCCTCCTCCTCCTCCTCCTCCTCCTCCTCCTCCTCCTCCTCCTCCTCCCATCACCATCACCATCACCATCACCATCACCATCACCATCACCATCACCATCACCATCACCATCATCATCATCATCATCATCATCATCATCATCATCATCATCATCATCATCATCATCATCATCAATCATCATCATCATCATCAGCATCAGCATCAGCATCAGCATCAGCATCAGCATCAGCATCAGCATCAGCATCATCATCATCAGCATCATCAGCATCATCATCATCATCATCATACCCTCCCTCTCCCTACACCATCGTCACCATCATCACCGTCACCCGTCATCCATGAGCATCATCATCTGCAGCATCATCCTCATCCACATCCTCCTCATCATCGTCACCATCATCGTCCCCACCGCCCATGTCGTCACACCCCTCACACGTTTCGTGGCCCCACAGGGAGCCCCACCTAAGGCCACAGTAGCGGTGTTCGCATGCGTCTCTCCCACCCAGGACAGCGTTTCGTGGCCCCATAGGGAGCCCCACCGAAGGCCCCAGTGGGGGTGTTCGCATGCGTCTCCCCCACCCAGGACAGCGTTTCATGGCCCCATAGGGAGCTCCACCGAAAGCCCCAGTAGGGGGTGTTCGCATGCGTCTCCCCCACCCAGGACAGCGTTTCGAGGCCCCATACGGCGCTCCACCGAAGGCCCAACTGGGGGTGGTCGCATGCGTCTCCCCACCCAGGACAGCACTTCGAGGCCCCATACCCCACCCAGGACAAGGTTTCGTGGCCCCATACGGAGCTCCACCGAAGGCCCCAGTGGGGGTGTTCGCATGCGTCCCCCCCTACCCAGGACAGCGCTTCGTGGCCCCATATGGAGCTCCACCGAAAGCCCCAGTGGGGGTGGTCGCATGCGCCTCCCCCACCCAGGACAGCGCTTCGTGGCCCCATAGGGAGCTCCACCGAAGGCCCCAGCGGGGGTGTTCGCATGCGTTTCCCCCTACCCAGGACAGCGCTTCGTGGCCCTATGGGGAGCTCCACCGAAAGCACCAGTGGGGGGTGTTCGCATGCGTCTCCCCCACCCAGGACAGCGGTTCGTGGCCCTATACGGAGCTCCACCGAAGGCCCCAGTGGGGGTGTTCGCATGCGTCTCTCCCACCCAGGACAGCGCTTCGTGGCCCCATCGGGAGCTCCACCGAAGGCCCCAGTGGGGGTGTTCGCATGCGTCTCCCCCACCCAGGACACCGTTTCGTGGCCCCATACGGAGCTCCACCGAAGGCTCCGCTGGGGGTGTTCGCATGCGTCTCCCCCACCCAGGACAGCGCTTCGTGGTCCCACTGTGAGCTCCACCGAAGGCTCCACTAAGGGTGTTCGCATGCGTCTCCCCCACCCAGGACAGCGTTTCGTAGCCCCATAGGGCGCTCCACCGAAAGTCCCAGTGGGGGTGTTCGCATGCGTCTCCCCCCACCCAGGACAGCGTTTCGTGGCCCCATAGGGAGGTCCACCGAAGGCCCCACTGGGGGTGGTCGCATGCGTCTCCCCCACCCAGGACAGCGCTTCGTGGCCGCATAGGGAGCTCCACCGAAGGCCCCAATGGGGGTGTTCGCATGCGTCTCCCCCACCCAGGACAGCGCTTCGTGGCCCCATAGGGAGCTCCACCGAAGGCCCCAGTAAGGGGTGTTCGCATGCGTCTCCCCCGCCCAGGACAGTGTTTCGGCGTCCACCGAAGGCCCCAGTGGGGGTGTTCGCATGCGTCCGCGCCACCCAGTACAGCGCTTCGTGGCCTCATAGGGGAGCTCCACCGAAGGCCCCAGTGGCTGCATTCGCATGCGTCTCCCCACCCAGGACAGCATCTCGTGGCCCCATAGGGAGCCCCACCGAATGCGTTGCTCACAAAGACGGTACTCACAACTGCATATGGTTGGGTCCTTCGCCAGGCTAATGTCCTCCTCCCCCTCCTCCTCTTCCTGCTCCCCCATGCGTTCCCCGAAGTCTTTCCAAACCGACTCGGGGAACAACTGGCCCGATAGCTTGGCCAAGCTCTGGCCCAACTATCGGCCACAGAGGCGCTTGCAAAGGGACAAGGGGCGGCGGTGATTCGCCGTAGGCGTCTTCGAGGAATCGGCGGAATGGCGGAAGCCTCTTGACTCCGCCAATCCGGCGTGTGAGTTGACAAAAAACTGCAGCCTGAGCTTCAGCTCTGCTGGGGGGGGGGCTCTGTGGGGCCAATTTCGAAAAACCCATCCGCATCCCGGAAACTAACGACGCCGGAGTTTCTCTAAATTCCCCGCTGGGGACGGGGAGGGGGCGCAATTTCGGCAATTTCAAGAATGTCGGCCTGAAAACTAACGACGCGGGAATCAATCGAAAAACCCAGTGGGGCGACGGCGCGTGTTTGCGTGGGTTGCTTTTCAGAGGCGGAGGGGAGAGGGGGGGAAGATTTCGAAAACTCCTCCGCAGCCAGGAGTCTCACGACCAACGGGTGGTTCAAAATTTCCAAGTGGAAATGGGTGGGGCAATGTCGAGCCACTCCTTGGCAGCCGGGAAGCTGGCGACGCGGGAGTTGTGCTAAATTCCCCGCTGGTGGTGGTGGGAGGGGGCACAACGTCGAGCACCCCACCCCGCTGCCTGAGAACTGACGATTTTGGCGTTTCTCGAAAGCCCCCACCTTCCCTCCCCCCCGCGCCCCACCCTCTTGGAAACAGTGGAGTTTCTGGAAATAACTTGCTTGGAGCCTATTTTGAGAAACTCCAAAACACAGGTCAGGCGGCGTAAGAGTTTCTCGAATTTCGGCCGCGGCGCCATGCCGCTTTTGGAGAAACTCCAGTCCAGTCGACTTGCTGAACTGATCGGACTTTCTCCAAATACGCGACCAGAAAGCAATTTGCAAAACGCCTGCACTGCCAAGTGCCGCTGGACACATTGTCCCGCCCTCAGGGGCGGGCGGACGGACATCACGGTCACCACGGCCGCCGCGGCCATCGTGGCCGTGATTACGGCTACACCATGGCTCCCGTTGGCCTCGGTCCCGCGACCCCGCGGCATCGGACCCCATGCGGGAGGCCCAGGACACTTCCGATGCATCCACGCCCCCCCCCCCCCCATTAAGCAACGCCCGACCCGGCCCAACACGGCACGACCCTGAGATCCTGGCGTCTCAATGTCGCCGAGCCGGGGCGTTTCTCCCAACCTCGGGCCCCGGGGCCCTCACGGAGCGATCCGGCGCGAGACATGGCGCCGAGAGGCGGGGTGCAGTGCTCTGGCCGTCCAGGTCTCCGGGCCTTCAGCTGGAGCTGGACTGCGGTGCCCGAGATGGGTCCGAGCCCAATCGGGAGGCCCACCGGGTGGAGCTCCCTTGGCTCCAACCTCCGCGCGGCCCTGGACCAGGAGGAAGAGGAGGAGGAGGAGGAGGAGGAGGAGGAGGAGGAGGAGCGGAGCGGAAGGAAGAGGAGGAGGAGGAGGAGGAGGAGGAAGAGAAGGAGGAGGAGGAAGAGGAGGATGAAGAGGAGGAGGAGGAGGAGGAGGAGGAACGGGAGGAAGAGGAGGAGGAGGAGGAGGAGGAAGAGGAGGAGGCGGAGGAGGCGGAGGAGGAGGAGGAGGAGGAGGAGGATCCGCCGCGGGTGGGCACGGCCGCCGCCTCCCCCCCCGGGGGCCTTGCCGGTCAGGCAGCAGCGGTACAGCTGGAACTCCGCGGCGCCCAGCATGTCGTAGAGGAAGTGCGTGGCCGAGCACGTGAGGTAGCTCAAGAGACGGATCAGAACGTAGCAGCGGCTTACCACGGCGAAGAATATGACTAGCCTCGCGTAGTCGTACGACCCCCCCTGACGCTCGTAGAAATCGCGGAGGTTTATGAGGTCCTGCAGCCACTCGATAAACCATGCCATCAGCAGATTCATACCGAACGCCAGCCCGATTATCAGAGAAACAAACACAAAATAAATGCGATATAACACAAGAACAGTATTGGTCATTGACCCCTGAAGCCAATATGTGGGAAACCGCTTCTGGTACTTTAAAAGTTTGGTGATGCCACCGTGTTGTCCATGCCCCGACGTATCAGAGCCGAACGACGTGTTGCGCCGAATGTATGGGATAAAGCTTTGCCATCTCGAGGATCTGCCTGGAGGAAGCAACGACATGAACTACTTACCGCGCAATATTGAAACTAAACGGCTGAAGCAAACGAGCGTTGCGAGCACCGGCTACTCTCCTCGTCACCGACGTCCCTCATGTTCGTCCTGCTTCCGGTATTTCCAACAGACTTGCAGTTTCATGACATTCCTCAACTCATCATTGATGTCCATGGCGTGGAAGAGTGTACGCATTCCACAGCATACGTCTAATCATCACCTATATCTCTATATATATATATGGTACATCACGGCATCCTCGAGCAATCATATCATGCCCGTGGTCACTCTTGAAGACTTGAGGAAGGCCAGGGGCACTGCGAAAACATCTCGTGTCCTCCCCTCTCCTCCCAAAACCTCCGACGTCGTGCCAGACCTCTAGACACGGTTCACCATATCCTGGAGCTCGAAAATCGTGAGGTCTTGGCCCACCACCAGCTCATCCTCCTCCGCCTCCTCCCCCCCGCTCCAACGACTCCACTTTCTCCGACTTTGCCTGTGGGAGGGGCGTCACCCCACCACGAATCAACCTCTCTGATGATCCCCCACGTCGCCTAGGACAGGCCTAGGAGATGATGTCACTCCCTCTCGTCGGCCCCCCCTTCCGCGCACCGTGGGACATTGATCAGATCAGCAGAATCCAGCCGAATCCAGCCGCACCATCCGATCACATTCCCCTCGACACCAGACCCCATTCCCACCCACCCCTGTCTCGCCCTCGCGGGCTCCCGCTCCAAGCCCTCCACAACTACTCAATATACCTGAATACGTACGACTCTCCTCTCTTCCCCGAAGATGGCCGGGGAATCGCACCAGCCCTTTCGGGCGTGAGTGGTTTCGCGAGTTTCCTCTTCGAACCCTCATTCTTCCCCTTCGGGGAGGGGTTTGTCGCTGTATCACTGTTCCCTATTAGTAAACACTCCCTCCCCCAGGCGACAGGCAGCCAACCAGGACCAATGTGCCCCCCCCCTACCATCCCTGTAAAAAGCAATGTGCTGTCCACACTGGGGCAAAATCTTGGGGCATGATCGGGGGTGCCGTGAGCACTTTGTTATGGCTTTCTGACAGGGACGGCGGGGGGGTGCCCGCATATTGCCTGCTGCGCGCAGGGCCAACATCCCTGTCAACAAAACAATACAACATACACGTCGAGACAAAAACTGGATCATGCGCGGGCACCCCGCGATCGCTATGCATTGCCTTTTGACTTGGACGGCGGGAGCCTGCTATGTTCAGGCCCACGGGACGCTATGATGGTCAGCCACCCCGCCGCGATTGTGCACTGCTGTTCGACAAGGGTGGTGGGGGCCGACACGTTTCCCGATGTGTACTGCCACTTGCGCAAGCGCACCCAGCACAACCTTCGCGTGCCCGGAACGTGGGACACCTGGCGCGGCGGCTGGAGCATGCGGCACACGTGGCGCACGTGGATCACGTGACGCATCTGGCGCACCAGGCGTGCCAGGCAAGCTCGGGCCACAGGGGTGCCTGGCGCAGCTGGCGCGCGTGGCGCGCCTTGCGCACCTTGGCCCAACGTTGCGCACATGGGGTCGACTTTGGTTCACGTTACGTAGCTGCCCTCCCCCCGCCCCCTACCCCTGGACCTGGACGGGGAGGGTCGCGAGGCGTGAGAGCGTCCTAGATGGCCTCGGCGAGAAAGCCACAATCATAGAGCTTACGAAGGTTTTTGCCACATGTTGGCCTCCTGTGGGGAGGGCCCTAATTGAGGAGCCCCCCTTTTTTGATCGATCTCCTCCAAGATGGGCCCCGAGGCTCCCAAGAGGCAATAGGCCCCGAAGAGACCCCCAAGACGCCCCATGAGGCCCTCCAAAGGCACGGCTTGCTTTCTCCCAATGGACGTGGACATTGAAGACCGCTCACCCCTGATATCTGGTGTCGTGAATAAACACACCATCGTCAACACACCGTCGTGTATAACAGATGAAAGAGCAACACGCTGACTGATGACGTGGATGCTCAAGTGAACATTCAAGAAATCATTGGTGAGCGTCAGGTCGGCGACGACGTTGGTACATCATCTTGCTGCGCCTCATTTCTCGAGCTGGATAGATATATGAGGGCCCCAGGGCCCGAGAAGAGGGCTCAGATGCTGGTCGTAACGTTATCACTCACCACACCCGGATCTGAGGGTATGGAGGTGAGCCTTGAATGCCATCCAGCCCTGATCCTGGGAGGAAAGAACATCACATGAACTCATACTTCGGACATGGACTTCATGCCTCTGCTCCAAGCCGGATCGGCTTTCCAATCCGCGCAGAGCCGTGACGACGCACACCTCCAGAAACCTCAAGCATCTGCAAAACAACGTCGTCAAGATCGACCGCGGCGCAAACGACACCCACGACGACGACCACCACATTGTCACGCTGGCGAGGACGATCACGCTGATGCCGCCGACCACGACCAAGACGACGCCGACGGACCACGACGACGACGACGACGACAGCGAAACTACGTCGACCACACTAGGACGACGACCACGACGACGATCACGTCGCCGACCACGACGCTGTCGACGTCAACGACGACGACCAGGCAGCCGAGAGCCCGGGCCTCCTCGGCGCTGGCGCCATGACCCAGGTTCAGGGCGTCGAAGGGGTTCCCGCGGGCTGCCGCCGCCCGCCTGCGCGGGGCTTCCCCGCCCCTCCCTTGTTATGTCTCTTGTGGTGAATCAGAAACGGAATGGGCATTAATCGTTCGACTTCGGAGCGGACCATCATCATCATCATCATCATCATCATCATCATCATCATCATTGTCATCATCATCATCATCATCATCATCATCATCATCAGCAGCAGCATCATCATCATCATCATCATCATCATCATCATCATCATCATCATCATCATCGTACTCATCATCGTAATCATCATCGTAAGCATCACCCATCATCATCATCATCATCATCATCATCATCATCATCATCATCATCATCATCATCATCATCATCATCATCATTATCACCACCACCATCATCATCGCCACCATCATCATCAGCATCATCGTCACCGCCATCGTCATCAGCATCATCACCATACCCATAGACACCACCAACATCATCATCATCATCATTATCATCATCACTTACATCGCCATCGTCATCATCATCACCGTCATCATCAGCATCATAAGCATCATCACCATCGCCAACGCCATCGTCCTCGTCGTCATCAGCATCATCATCATCACTAGTCATCAGCACCACCTTCATCATTATCGGCGTCGTCTTTGGCATCATCGTCATAATCGTCACCAAAACTCCGACTACTACCACAAACTGCATCCCAATCGTGATCATCATCATCACAACCATCATCCGCACCATCATCGCCGTCACCATCCTTATTCTTTACGCGTGGCCATCATCATCAACATAGTCATCGTCGCCATCATCATCATCACCATCATCATCATCACCCGCCTCATCACCACCATCACCGCACCAACCACCACCACCACCACCATCGTTATCATCAACAACGCCAGTAGCAACAGCATCAACCCCGTTACCATAATTACCAACATCATCAGCATCATCACCACCATCAACATCAACATCATCATCATCAGCAGCATCAACATCAACATCATGATCATCATTACCATCAAATCCATCAGCACCTTCACCGTCTTTCCTCATATTTCCCAGCATGTCCGCAATACTTTCTTCTCAACTAAAAGGAGAGGGCCGCCTGCGGAGGGCCTGGCCGCGGCCCTTTGCCTCGCCGGCGCGGCAGCCGCCTGATCTGGGGGCCCTGCCCAAAAGCGGGCGAACGGCGACGACGACGCCGCTGACGACGACGACGAAGAGGACGGCGACGACGAACGAGGGCGACGAGGACACTGAGGATGGGAAGCGGGGAGGGAGATGAGGATGGGAACGGGCGGGGGAAGGGGCAGGAGTTGAATATGGAGGAGGGGCTGGAGGCAGGGAGGGAGGGGGCGAGGATGGAAGGGGGGAGGGCGGGCATGGAGATGACAAATAAGTCTGTTGCCTGAATATCCGCAATCCCTGCAAGGTGTCCCGTCGATGTCTCATGGTCACTGGGCTTCGCCGATGACACGGGGGAGAAAAGATAATGCCGTCAAGCATGCAATAGGGTAACCCTGAAGGGAAGGGGCCGGCCCGCTGGCCGACGCACGCGCGCGCGCCGCAAGCTTGCTCCTCTTCTGTTTCCCTAAAAAGCCAAACTTCTACAGGCAAAACATCCACGCCAAGAAGAGAAGTAGACAGCGCAAGTGAGGCTAGAGAGCAGGACGGGCAGCAGCACGGTGGCGCGGAAGGAATGCATTGACTCCCCCCGCGGCGAGATCCGCAGAGTCGCCCCGGCCCCCAACCCACCTGGCCTGTACATATGCACAGCCACCGGAGCGAACCCCAAAAGCATTTTACCGCTCAACGGTGGTCGCCAGGAGGCGGATGAAAGAAGTGACCCGACGAACCCCGCCAGAGCTAATATTTGGCCGCTCAGGCCACAATGCCCATGCACACTTGGTGCGCCCGCTCCATGATGAACTATGGACCGGCATCGACAAAGTCGCACTGGTCCTTCTTGTACTGCATTATCTCTGCCAATCATTCCTCCAATCTCGAGAGTCGTCCCAGGGGTCGCTGTTGCGACAGTTCCACTGGTGCTGATCTTTTGAATGCTTGTCATATCTGTCTCTTCTTATGCTCGAATTCCAGCTGTCTGACAGGTCCTTGTCCTGGCCTTTCTCGGCCGGCCTCGCCTTCGGAATAGGCGGTGGCGGAGGCTCTGGCAAGGTACTTGGCGTCCAAGGATCACGTTGAGACTTGTCGCTGTCATTGTTCAAACTAAACCATTGCCAAATTTTGGTATGACCAGTGATATTCTGAGGGCGAGTCACATGAACATAAGATCCTTGTACTTCCCCATTATCGTTCTTGCCCTCGCAGTCCAGCGCCGCGTCCTCGCCGCCATCGCTCGCGCGGCCGCCCGTTTCTACGACGGGCTCATCAGCCC